GACGATATCGAGGGCCGGGCTGGGCCGGGATAGATGAAGCCGGGCACCCTCAAGTCCCGGCGAGGCAGTGCCGGGGACGAGGAGGAGGCCTACATCGGCTTCCCGGTGACCCCGCGCAAAGACTACTGCTGGTCGTCGTGGCTGCTCAAGGCCGTGGTGGCGCTGGTGATCCTGATGGCCGGCGTGCTCATCGGGCTGTCGGCCAGCGCCAACGTGTCGCGCTACTACTACTTCAGCAGCATTGGGTCCTCGTCGCTGTTGTTATCTTCTTCCTCCCTGCAGGCAGCCGGCGGCGGTGGCACTGGCACTGGCAGCAGCAGTGGTAATAAGAACAACACCAATGGCGATGTCTTCGCTTCCAGTTCCACCACGAGCAGCGGCAGGAGTCGCAGTAGTAATAATAAGAGGAAGAAGATGACGGAAGACGAAGCTCCACCTCCACCGGTGCTGCTGGACTTCCGTGGTTTCGTGGACCCCGGCCCGCCATGGGGCCACTCGATGTCGGACCCGGAGCTGTTCTGGCGGGCGTCCATGGCGCCGCGCATGGAGGAGTACCCGTTCCAGCGCGTGCCCAAGGTGGCGTTCCTGTTCCTGACGCGCGGGCCGCTGCCGTTCGCGCCGCTGTGGGAGCGCTTCTTCCACGGTCACGAGGGGCTCTACTCGGTGTACGTGCACGCGCTGCCGGGCTACGCGGGGCGCTACCGGCCGTCGTCGCCGTTCCACGGGCGGCAGATCCCGAGCGGGGAGGTGTCGTGGGGCTCCATCACGCTGGTGGACGCGGAGAAGCGGCTGCTGGCCAACGCGCTGCTGGACTGGTCCAACCAGCGCTTTGTGCTGGTGTCGGAGAGCTGCGTGCCGGTGTTCAACTTCCGGACGGTGTACGAGTACCTGGTGAACTCGGCGATGAGCTACGTGGAGTCGTACAACATCGACGTGCCGCAGTGCGCGGGGCGGTACAACCCGCGGATGGCGCCGGAGGTGCTGGAGGAGCACTGGCGCAAGGGCTCCGAATGGTTCGAGATGAGCCGGGACCTCGCCGTCGACGTGGTGGCGGACCAGAGCTACTACACGCTGTTCCGGCGGCACTGCACGCCGTCGTGCTACCCGGACGAGCACTACATCCCGACGTTCCTGCACCTGCGCCACGGCGCGCGCAACGCCAACCGGACGGTGACCTGGGTGGACTGGTCGCGCGGGGGGCCGCACCCGGCGCGCTTCGGCAAGGCGGCCATCACGGGCGACCTGATGGCCGCCATCCACAGCAACGGCACGCTGTGCCTGTACAACGGCAAGCCCACCACGGTCTGCTACCTCTTCGCCAGGAAGTTCGCGCCCAGCGCGCTGCCCACGCTGCTCAACCTCAGTACCACGCTGCTAGACTTCTGAATTAGTACTCCCTCGCTACTTAGAAATCATGTCGTTTTAGGGGTGGAGTAGTTTTCACTAATGAAGTCGTTTTAGGGTATGGAGAGAGTTTTGGATGGGATTACCCCCACCGTTTCGTATCCTGGCCCGTCACGGCGTCGCCCAAGGATACATTTAATTACCCCTCCTCGCTTGCCGTCGTCCCTTGCTTCGCTCGTGCCACGCATCAGAGAGAGAGAGTGCGTCGCTTGTCTCTATGGAGAGAGAGAGAGCTCGCTCGCGCTACGCATGGAGGCCACGAAGCGACGCATGGAGGCCATCGCGCCGCAGGACGTCGTGGCGGAGGACGTCATGGTGGTCCGTTGATCTGCGCTGCAGGACGTCGCCGGAGTCCATCGAGCTACGCCGCAGGACGTCGCTGGCCGCGGCGGAGGAGTCGGAGGATGACGCGATCGGAGACGCAGGAGCCTCAAGGAGGACGATGAGGTGGGCTCTCGGAGCCGGAGGATGAGTATGGAGGGAGTATTCTAAATCCTGTTCAAAACACTTGATTTTAAGTATAGCGGGAGTATTCTAGATCATTCTTTCTTTCTTTGGTTTTTTTTCTTTTTGCCTTTTTCCTTTTGGGTGAGGTGACTGACCGTCGATGCGATTGATTGATTGTCCCCAAAATAAGTGAAAAATGTATTTATTGTGGGACAAAGAGAGTAGTATAGTGTAGTTTTACTATTATTATTAGTTGAATATACAGCGCGTTGCCACGAGAGTTTGAAAAAATTGATAGACAATGCATAGATTAACAATGATGATTATTCGGTTGAAAAGTCCTATATTAGAAGTAGCGTATGTACTTTTTGATAACTTCAACTGCCGAAGTATATGTTATTAGCATCAGGTGGCTTTGGTTGCTTACCGGTGAAATTAAATTGAATCATATAATTATATAGGAAAATTATTTCCTACTCATAGGGAGTAGTTACTCCTATGTGTATATCTCTGGTATATATATGATCCAATGAAGTGTATATAGACGGTGTATATATGATCATACTAGACCATTTAAGGTAGTATGCATCCCAAGTATGCATGTAAATAGAGTATGTGGTTATACTTGTTTTATATACTAGTATACTACTGTAGTGGTATTATAATAACATATTAAAAGTATGGGATCTTTGAAAAAAAATCACGTAGTAAGATTTAGAGTATCTTAAAACAAGTATATAAATATACTCAAACTGATAATGAGTATGCACACATACGCAATGTGGTTTATTGAAAATGTGAGTAACTACTCTAGGGAGTAGGAAAAATACACATGTATCATGCTTGGAAGTAGCCAATGATTTTAAAGTTGTATGCCATAATAATTTATTGGCAAACATATTTTTGGCACGACTGAATAATGATTTCATGGAACCTTCATATAATTTGATTTCATTAGAGAGAATACAAAAGTGCATGACTATTGACTAAAAGGGTAACTGGCTTCTCTATCCAATGAGAATTAGTGGACCATATATAGACTGTAAGATAAAGTTTCTAAACCTAGAGAAAATCAAAAGATTCAATTACCCTGTCTAGGATAGAAACACGGGAAAAACTAAACCACTAAAACTCAAAAGGCGTACAATTTTTTGTTCTGATAGGATCCAAAGACACTCGATACTCATGGGGCTGACAGGTGGACGAACTTGCTAGTTGGTCTGTTAGACATGACAGGTGTAGATGAAGCACAATGGTCTGCTTGAGAGCTTGAGACAAAGACATGTTTTGAAGATGGACGTGCGGCTGTGGCCGCTGCTCAATCTTTAGCACTGACCCGTGATTGGTGGTGCGATGACCTTGACTAACGACGACGACGATGACCACTGTGCCAATTTAAAATCAATAGTAGATAGGGGAGCAGTGGTGTCAATTTCGAGATCGTGAAAGATATCACTTAGGTTTATGAATTTTAAAATACATTTCCAGGACCTAATCTTATTAAAGTGGCGCGGGCCACACCGCCAGCCCGCCCCACGGAAGAAAATTAGGGCGTGTTTGCGCACCTGGACCAGCACGGCCGAGCCAGCCCAAACGGACCAGGCGTGGACAGGCCTGCCCCAGCTGCTAGCAACGCAGCTTGTTTACGCACCTGTACCGATTCAGCCTGGCCCAGGCGAGCTGGTGTTGTGACCCAATACTCAGCTGGGCTCAAACGCCAACCGCCACCAACTGTCGAGCACAGATTGTGTTTGCCAGCTGTTGTGCTCGGCCTGGCCCAAAGAGAAGGAAGAACATCATGATCAATAGAGAAGCAAACACTTTGAATGAAAATATACAAAAGACATAGGCCTCAGACTAATTCCATTTAATCAACACATACATTGCCGGCTATATTGCATAATCAAAAAAGCAAATTAAGAATAGTAGCAGAATTATAGTTTGGCAAGCCAAGAAGGGCAACAAGTTAACAGAAAAGAGAGTACATGAATCAAAGTGGCATGTAGTCAGCTAATGCAGTCATCCTATTGTGTCATCATCGGCCTAATTAAAACAACAGTTGTGGCACATGAACAGCTTGAGTAACAAACCAACTACAACCATAAACAAGATCAAGATGACAACATTTTTACAACAGCCTTGTAGCCCAAGTGAATGAGGATAGATTTCAGAACCTTGAGCTGTCACCAGTCATGGGATGCTGATGCATCCCCGTGAGGGGCATCAATTGGTAACAGCAAGGGTTCTTGAGGTATCCTTGCATTAAAATCTCTAAGAGCATCATCATAGTTGTTGTACTTCTGATAGATAACCCCTTCTTCCCTAAGCACTTGCTTAGCACACTCATACCATGTAAAATAAATCTCAGGTTTCTTCCCTTCAAAGACCACATAGCAAGGAGGCATTCTCTGAAACCAACAAAATATAGAACATGTAGAGTGGTTTGAATGACATGCCTCAGTCGACCATTCAGTTTGAATGATGGTGAACATCATCGGCTACTTGATAAAAAAATTAGCCTCAGCTTAGTAGTTTGGTGGTTTTTTTCCTTGTTTAGTCATTGGTGGCTATCAAGAATTGTAAGAACCAAATAAAGAGGCAAGTAAACAACAGTTGCACTCACTACCATACAGACCTTTTGATCAGTTGCACTCACTGCCATCAGCCATCACAAGAGGATATTGTTGATATGGAGTACAACTGAGCATAAGTGTAGGATGGAAGGATAGGCAAATAAAGAACAAAGCACAATAACAAAACCATCAAAACAAGAATAAGGTAGCCACCTCATGTTTGTTTTATGCATCATAGGCCTTTAAATCCCACATTTACCATCAGGGCATAAACAACACAAATAGGCAACTAGTTATCAAATAAAAAGTAGCCAACATAGGCTACAGATAGTGTTTGTTCCAATACCAAGTTCAGCCTAACAGCCAAGGGCTCAAATGTTCCCAAATCCTTGCCTATTGTTAGCCACCCTCCTAGGCAAACTACACCATCAAGGTCAGATGTCAAAAGAACAAGCAGACTGCACAAAAGCTCCTGTTGTCAAAAGAAGAGAGAGTGGGTGAGGGGGGGGGTGGAGGAACTATACATCTCTAGAGTCAACCCCTTCCTGGCCTTCTAGCCCTTCATGTGTAGTGGAACTACACATAGTAGTTTTTGGCCAGGAAGGTCCTAAGCCAAAGGGCCCTGTGGGCATCACTCATGTTCACAAAGCCCCTGCCTTGGGCCTTGTTGTCCAGGAGGAAGGTGTAGGCAACAATAAGTGCCTCCTCACTGAAGCCAGGCATCTCCATCATAGCAAGGTACAGATTGGCATCAACATGGGCAGGTCCAGTCTTCCTAAGAGCATTGGCCACATTGTTCACAGCATCTGACATGTTAGTCAACAAGAGCATCTCCTCCTCAGAGAAGTTCCCTTTCTTCCTCTTTGGGCCAGCAGCTGAGGAGGTAGGAAGCAGTTCAGTGGCCTTGCTATCCCCTCCCTGTTCACTGGGAACTGTGGTGTGGGTCAAAGGAGGACCATCAGCCTTGGCACCAACACTGTCAGCCTAGTTCTGCCCTAAGGCTTCACCAGACCCAAGTGCAAACTTGCTTGTGGCCATGGCATTAGCAAAGATAGCCTCCATCTCAGTGTAGAACCTAATAGGGCAGTTAAGAAATTCTGCATCTTTAGGATGGTCCTGTAGGGTTAGGCAATTGTAGAACCTAATAGGGCAGTTAAGAAACCCTAGCCTATTTCTGCCTCCACTTCCTCAAGTGGTTGTACACTTGAGTTGGGCTAACAACCTCCCTATAGAATAGCTTGAGGGCTTTGGCCACATAATTCACATCTTTGTCCTTAAAAACCTTGGTAGGCCTGCTACCATCACTAACAAGGGCAGCCATCCTCCTTAGCACAAAGCCAGAGGTGGTGTTGGTCCACCTCATTGCCCTCACAGACCCATTCCCAACCACAGGAGCAGCAACATCAACAGCGTTTGCTGCATCTGGAGCGGCACCAGCACCAGCACCAGCTGCAACAGGGGCAGCAACACTAGCACTAGCACCAGCTACAACAGGGGCAGAACCACCATTGATGAGCTGCTCCATCACTGAAGTACCAGCAACAAACCCACCCTCAAATGCACCTGAATCCATCCTAGGGCTGGCATGTAATGAAATCAACAACATAATTAGTCAAGAACAGACTGACATCAATATTAACAGTTGCATAAATAAACAACAGACTGACAGATCATGAAGAACAGAATAATTCAAGAACAGACTGACAGTAAGATTAACAACAACAGAATGAATGAAGCATAAAATTGGTCTCAGCTTTGTCCACCAAATTATTACATCACCATGACACACACATGAGTTCCATAGCAGGGTACAGAAGCTAAATTCAAGAACATATTACATCAAATAGTGTTTGTTCTCCTCCCTTCCCACATAGCATTGCAAATGGCATCCCTTATTTCAGCCATGTCAATAGATTCTTAGTCCAGATGGGATGGGGGCAGGTTGGTTGGATCAGCAGAAGCAGTGAAACCTTCCTCATCAGGCACTACTTCATCAATGCCAAAACCTAGGATCCAGTTGTGCAAAATGGCACAGGCAACTACAAGCTTCACTTGTGTCGTATACTTGTGGAAGTGTTTGTTGTCCAAGATTCTAAACCTGTCCTTCAGTGCACCTATAGCCCTCTCCACAGTCACTCTAAGTGATGAGTGCCTAAGGTTGTAGAGCTCACTTGCATTGGTGGGCCTGTTCCTTGGGCCATACTCAGACAAATGGTACCTAACCCCCCTGTAGGGAGGTAGGAAACCATTTTTGCATGCATACCCAGCATCTACCAAGAACATTTTACCTACACAAGACATCTACTATGAGAGTGTGTGTTAATAGGCCATAGAATATGTAATTAGTGTTGGTGTGCAATTACCTTCTGGTAAACTCAAGCCATCTTCCCTGGCTACAGCATCTGCTAAAACTGTTGCATCATGGGTAGAGCCCTCCCAGCCAGCCAGGACATAAGTGAATTTCAGATCACAATTCACAGCTACCATCACATTTTGGGTGGGATCCTTTTTTCTTCCCCTGAAAGCTTGTTGCATGCGCCTAGGAACCCTTGCTAGGAAATGAGTGCCATCTATAAAGCCAGTGACATCCTAAAAATCATGGGTTAGTCATTGCAACAGGTCTAATGTAACTAATGAACCCAGGGTATACAATTACCTTAAAATATGGATTTCATGTATGGCTTCTAAGAATCTTTGGATGAGTGGTAGTGCTAGCTGGCTTTATCATTTTATTTCTAAGCTCACCCACAGCATACAACACCTGATGAAAGTGCTTGTGGACAGTTTGGATGGACCTCCTAAAGGATTGGTGGACAACCCTAAATCTTTGGTTGTGCCCTACAACATGTAAAAACATAGCAACCTGCTCTTCTACTGACACCCCCTCCCTATCAGTGACAAGACTTCTCTCTCTAAAAGTTCTCACTAACTTAAAAAAAGCAGCTCTCTTCATCCTAATCATAGAAATACACTCTGAATCAGTGGAGTTGTATATCATTCTTAGTGTTTCATGTCTATGCTGTTCATTTTCATCCCTAATCATGGCCAATGCTATAGGATCAGGCAGTGGGGTTTCAGGTTCAGAGGTTTTCCTTTTCAGCCTAGTGGATACAAAGGAAACCATAACAACAGTCAAAGCAACTGCCTTCCTACACAGCATGTCACGGCTCAAAGACAGATCCATCTACAAGCATGTAAAAATATAACATAATTTCAGCTTAATGTACCCTGCTAGGCATCAACATGAATGTGATATGAATGCATATGAACAAAAGCACGACTGCATCTTGTATGTGATGCCTCCCAGTGCTAAATTTGGACAACATCATCGATCAATGATGGAACAAAAAACCCAGAGCAATAGTAATCAGAAACAGATCAACATCCCTAACAGATCAAGAATAGCAAGGTACAAGTAACACTAACAACTGCATCAAACAGTTATGAACAGCAAGGTACAATACTAATCTCAAACAGATCAACAACCCTAAGAGATCACGATCCCAACAGATCAAGAACAGCAAGATACAAGTAACCCTAATAGGAGCATGAAATAGTTATAACAAGTATGAAACCCTAACAGATCATGAACATCAACGAACAAGAAACCCTAAGAACTTCAAGAAGCACCACAAAAAAAAGATTGGGGGTGATTTCACCTTGGCTCGGGGTCCAAACAACGGAGAGGAGGCAGATATGGAAGTAGAGGATGCAGATCGGGAAGAAGACGAAGCAGATGCGGACGGAGAAGAAGAGGAACACCGCCGCCACGGAGTCCCAGCAGGAGCCGGAGCGAGGACGCGGCGAAGAACCTCGGCGCCGATGACCGAACCCACTACCAGTCGGAGGTCGCCGCTGCCGCCACGCACCACCACTCACCGCCGGTCTCTCACGAGGGAGGTGGAAGAGCAAGCACCGAGTGGAAGAAGGAGAGAGTGGAGAGTGGGAACCCGTATATAAAGGCCGGCGAAATCGCCGCCATTTCGCTTCGCGCGCGGCGGCCAGAGCGGGAGCGGGGAGCGGGGACGCGCGCGAAGAAGTTTTCCCTTCCCACCAGACCCCGCGCGAGCCACCCCGCCGCCGCCAAAAATCGCCTGCGTGCGCCGCCACGAGCTCGGCTCCAAAGAAACGAGGGTTTTCCTCGTTTCCAGAGGGCTAGGCGGAGAGGGCGTTTTTCGCTCTGGGAAGCCAGGCTCGCTCGCGGGCCACGACCACAAACATGGCAAGTTGCAGCCCACGGGCGCAGCCGGGCCTCCCGGCCAGGGTCGCAAACGCGCCCTTAGATGTGCAGACGCGCTCGGTGCAGACTCCGCGCCGATGGAAGACACGTGTCCCGAAATTTGATCGCACGGCCAAGTGAGGAACGGCTTCGACGCCCAGCGCATCGGCTCCCAGGCCGTGCGGCTCCGGCTCACCCAAACCAGCCCAGCCTCATCCCCATCGCGTCGTCTCTGTGCTCTTTCATCCGCATCCACTTCCCCCGTCCCCTAGCGCCGCCACTGCCCCTCTCGATCATCGCCGTCGTTGCCTTCGCCTACCTTGGTTCCAGGCCCCGGCCCACGGCGAACGCTGCAACAAACTGGCATCCCGAGCGTCCAGCCACATGAGGTAGGTCAGGCCCTCCATGAGCTTGCCGCAGATCCGCAGTCGCATCGGGATGGACCATGGTGCTGATGAATGTTACAAGCAGACCGATGGTGCCCCAGCTATTGGTGCTTGACATGTAAAGGCTTCGATTCTGTTGTCCTAAGTCACATTCATTTTGCCAATTTTTTAATCACCGTGCCGTTGTTTGATGCAGCAGCCTGAACTTTCCATTTTGTTTCTAGGGAGTCAGGAAGCTATCTTATCTGAATTAGAAAGGTGCATCTCACCAATACGGCTCAATTTGTTGAAACACCAACTGAAACTATGGACATACATGTTCGCGGTGATCAAGTGCCGGGGCGTCCTCTGCCCAGTCAAAACTGAACAAGGGTTGGAGCTGGAATTGTATAAAAATCTTATGCATATGGTTGTATTGGAATGTAGTTTCATGACTGTAACCTTTTTTTGCAACCTGAGAGCTTGTAGTGACTGTAGTGGTAAACTCAGGCCCCAAATGTAATATGTACACTGTGCTTTTTTATTTGAGAGACATATGGTTCTCCAGAGTACAGGCAGGTTATATGAAATGCAAAACGAACATCTGTGTTGACAATAGCAAAGCGTTGATTTCTGAATGTTTGTATGCCACAGCCTGAAATGGATAAGCTCTTTTTTCTTAGCAGAAAAGGATAAGCAGGTTATTGTCTGCAATGACCTTGTATTCAGTTTATATTACTACATTTGATATCGAACAGAGAGGATCTTCTCAAGTATATCATCTAGATGTTCCATTTAGTGTAGAAATTCAGACATTTGCATTGACAAGACCAAAGCGTTGATGACTGAATTTTTGAATGCCAAAATAAAATAAACTGCATTCAATGAGAATGCAGCCAAGTCTTACAGAGTGCTATTAATTCAAACTGGAAGTAAAATGATACAATTCAGTGACCGAAATGACTATTATTCATTGAAGTGTAACTTTCTAGCAGATTTGGACAATGTGGCATCTTGTTCAACTCCAAGCAGAAGACCAGTAAGTCCACCTTGGAAGAAAGGAGCTGAAATGTTCGAAGATGACCTGTACATATCACTTGCAAACAACGGCATTGTGGCATTAGCTTGTCCTCCTTGGATAAACGGAGTAGCCATGGTTGAAGATTGCCCTTGCACTTCATTTGCAAACATTGGCATTGCAGTGTTATTGGAAATGGTACCAGCATGAAGGTCCTGTGTACATAATATGATTTTTTTTATTACAATTGCTAGTAGGTAAATAAATTATGAAAAACAAATAATGAGCCCAAGTCATGTATTACGATCAATTGCTTTGGATCATCACTTTCATCTCTCTTTTCAGCACCATTTTTGGGATCTTCTCCTGTAGCCCGATCTGTAAGTAAGAAAAAAAGAATTACTATAGAAGTAGCCATAATGGGAAAAATAAATAGAATGGATGATTACCTTTCTTATTAGTGTTTTTCTTCTTCTTCTTTTCTGAATTCTTTTCAACCACGTTTTTGTAGCGTGAATTCTTTGGGCCTTTTACCACTTGGGGAACTCTAAAACTTATTGAAGCGTTTAAAGTGTCACTGTCACATTCATTCACCACTAGCGGAGCATCATTGGATTCTTCTTGCAGCTTCCTTAGACGAACATCTGCCTCTAAGTCGAACTTTTCTGTAGTTTTTTGGAAATCGTCAAGGAGTTCTTTTGAAACTGAACATTTCAATGCAACAGAAGTCGCATTTCGAGAGATAAGAGCAGCATGTGTTTTCAAATCTTCCTTCTTACTTCCTTGTTTCTCAATATAAAATCCTCTTTTTGCATATTTTGTCCACCTATTTAGTATATATTGAGATGGCAAATTGTAAACTCCATTCATATTGAAGACCCTGAGTGCATGCTTGTACAACAGACCTATGAAATATAGATGATGATATTTTCAGCATATGTAGTACAATCTATATTGCAAATTGAAATGTGTACACGTACGTATGGATTCAAACTTTCTGCAAGAACATGCGATGGTGGAATCTGCGGTATTAAATACCACTGGGCGCCGCGTTCAGACTGCATATATGTAACCATGAATGTTAAGTTTGTCCCTTCAGTCTACACTAGATTACAAGACAATGTGAATTGTTTTTTGAATTCTTCCTCAAACTTTGAATACATCCTCCTTGTGTATGATTTAGCTGCAGTCCTCAGCATAGGTAAATTTAGGATATAAGTAACTGGGATCTTGCCACGTGACTTAAAGTCATCGTCCAACTCATTTTGACGAAGACTTCTCGCATTCTACAAGTAGTTCTGAGAGACAGAGATTTCGACGAAACCTTTTCTTGAAGACATTATTCATACCTTCGCTTCTTTGAGTTGAGTTCATATCCGCCGTAAAAGAGTCACGATATACAGCAGCCCACTTTGCCCGTATACTATACAGGTTTTGCATCCATGAGTTATCCTCAAGTTTGTATTCCCTCAACAATTCATTCCACTTTTCAATGAAGTAAGCCTCCGACCTGTCCTCATACACACATCTCTTAAAATCAGTTAGAAACTTGCCATCTGAATCATGAATTACATGCCCGAAATGTTTAGTAGCATTTAGACAAATATGCCACAAACAAAGTCGATGGCTTGTATTTGGGAATACGAATGCAATTGCTCCTGCCATGGCTGCATCTTGATCAGTGAATATTGTGCTAGGATGCTTACCAGACATTGCCGCCATAAAGGTTTCAAAGAGCCAAACAAATGATTCAATAGTTTCACTATATAAAAGTGCAGCCCCAAAAATTACAGTCCGCTTGTGATGATTGGCTCCAAGGATCGGAGCAAAAGACATCTCAAATTTATTAGTCTGAAAAGTTGTGTCAAATGACACAGCATCACCAAAGCACTTGTAATCCATGATAGATTGACCATCTGTCCAAAAGAAATTTACTATCCGACCATCTTCCTTATTTATCGGAATAGCATAAAAAAATAAAGGATCCTCTAATTGCTTGTTCTTCAAGTATTCCAACAAAGTTTCTGAATCATTAGCTTCTAAGTACTTTCTACGCTCACGACTAATCTCATTATTGCTATCCATCTGAGAAAATGGCACCTTGTCTTCTCCTCCATAAAACTCCTTCATGAACTCATATACTTGGGCTGGCTTCATCCCTGCTTCCCGTATTTGGCCAATTAGTTTTATGTCTGCCTCTATAATACATCGCTGGGACCTCAGCTTGTGTGACTTATTTGGACTAGCAAGATAATGATTGTGATCAAGTACAACCTTTTGTACTGTCCATATCCCCTCTCTGCTGACAGTAAACTGAACACGAGCATTGCAACCTATTCTTGTATTGTCCTTCTGTGATGACTCATTTTCTCTATGTCCTTGGCTACTCAAACTATATATTTTTGACATATCGTCTTATCTGCTCTACGCTTTATATAACTTTTTCTAATGATAAATCCAACCTTGCCGGCATATGTGTTGTAATCTCATAAGCTTTGTCCTCTGATTGGAAAGTCATTCCAACCTCAGGACTCAGGAGTGATCAAAGTTTTCCCAATTTTATCAACCGCTTGTAGTACAATAGGATGGATATAGTAACATAGTGTTTACACCAAAATTTGGAAAGAGAAACGCGGGAACTCAAAGCTTCCAAGATTGTGTCATCAAGGAATCAATTAGATGTGAATCAGTATCAGCTGATTTGGATGCGATATCAGAATCGGATATAGATGACGTCATCAGACGGCGTCAATGGGCTATGCTTGAATGGCGTCGGGAAGATTTGTCGGACTCTACCAATAAAAAAAATTAGGGTCCAAGTTACTGTTAAGTTATGAAGTTTTCTTTTATTCCAAAAATTGTAATGAGTCATATTTGAGTATGATTCATATTTAGGTTTCGGGTATAAATATTAGACCCTAGTTATTGTACAAAGACACGAACACTCAATCAATACAATCTTTCCGACTTTCGCCATCGCATTAGGAGTAGGAGTATTGTAGATCTCGGTGAGTTCTTCAGCAAACAGGGCTGCATCGACTGATCGACCTCCAGTTTGCTTGTGAGTACCGTCACAACTTGTATTGTGTTTGTAAAGCTGCATCAACCGATTGATCTTTTACGAGCTATAATATAAGTTAGTTATCGATCCATACTATTGTTTGTAAGGCTACATCAGCTGATTGATCTCTTACGAATCATAATATAGATAAAAGTTACCGATCTTGTGTTAAATAACTTGTTGTTTAATACAATATCACAAATTATCGAATCTGCTAAGATTAGTAAGATTTTCCTTGCTGTTTTTGGTTGATTCACCAGTTATCGATCTTGTTATAATTAATGTCTTATTAATTATAACAAATCATCTGATTAAGATAGAGATAGATCGGCATCATATTATCTTAATTGGTCATCTCCCAATCTGGTCACGCTTTAAATCTTATGATTGATGGCTTAATCCCGCTAGATCGGTTGTTTTATCTCTATTTCATTTATAGTATGCATTCAAAGACACATTTCAATCTTGAATGAACTCACTAGTTAATGAGATCTAATTTATTGACACTACTATAGCTGCATCGATCTGATCGAACCTCACTAGTAAGACATTAGATTAGAAATTATTGATTAGTGGTTTTATTCATGATCGAGATATGTACTCTGTTTGTTTGCTACGCCTGCATCGGCTATTTAGCCGATTGCCTATAGCTTCACGCATATAGCATTTTTTATGAATCTGTCGATATATAGATGGTTTTATAAATTCTCTGGCTTTAGTTTGTTATCATTATCATAGCTGCATCGATCCGGTCGAGCCTCACTGTTGATGATAATAGATTGGATCCAGATTGTTTATGTATTCATTTACATTAGACAGTAGATTGTTTGCATGTCATACTCTTTTTATCAAATTTACCGGCTCACACTTTATACTGATTATGTTCTATTTAGCCGATGATGTTTTCTCATATCGCTTTTTTGCTGATTATCAACTTTGTAATCGATTGATAACATCAATTGACCATTTGGTCATATATATTGGAATTTTAAGGAAAGATCTTCTGATTTTTGTATTTGGATGTATTGTACTTGTTTTTATCTAGATTAATCAGTCACCATAAATCTGCTATGATCCATGAGCATCGATTATTTTGATTCATATCATTATCATTTAATATTAGCCGATAATCCTTGATTTAAAGGTCTTCATTTCATGGATACGCTGGATATTGACTATTTAGTCGATAGCCTTATTGAATCGGCTATCTAGTCGTACATTTGGAACTGTCTGGAGCAACACCGACATGTTCCACCTTAAATTACTGATAAAATTTTCTCTCCTTATCAATTGCAGGTCAAATTAATGGCACGTCGTTGGATTTACAGAATCGCCTGGTTTTGTGTTGAAGCCAAGCAGATCTCTGGTCTCGTTCCGCTCAGATCTTCTGGCTTGTTGTGTGTTGATTACATCGCCACATTTTTGTATCAACACATAGCCATGCTGAATCCATTTTTGATAAATTCTACCATAGAAAAAGATTGCCATTTCATACCTCAACTCCTTGTGGTGCCGTGCCGTCTGGCAAGTCGCTGGCAATGTTGACGTTGACTCCATGATGTTGGACAGCACCACAGGTGTAGTGCCTGTATGGATGTTCTCCTAGCCAAAAGATACGTTGAGACATTTTTGTGGTAACCAATGATGAAAATATTGCATAAATAATAGTACATCTACTACCTGTGTTGCATTAATGGTGTTCGGAGATTCATCGGCGTCTGCAATATCCTCTCGCGCCACAGCGTTATCAGCGGCAACACTCAAGGCTAGACCGTCCTCCATGTACTGCAGCGGCGAGAGCACCCTAGCGGCCGGCTGTTGCCGTGAGGCGTCAGGTACGTGCGCCGCAGATCAGATTGCCGGCGGCGGACGATGACAGGCGTCCCAGATCACAACTCCAACCGCTCGGCCGTCATTGGCGGCGCTCACGTAGTCACGATGTTGGTCGCAGCCTTTTCCTGCATCATTTGCGGCTAAGAATGGCAACGGGACGGGTTCGGATCGGGTGGAATGTCTGGGCACGCAAAACCGAAACCTGAACCTAAAACCCGAAACCACCCGAACACCAATTCGGGTGAAAATCCATCCCCAAAACCCGACGGATAATCAGAAACCTAGAAAATTCGAGATCTAGGGAAGGGATTCGCCAGCGCCGCCGCCCTCTCGCTCCTCCGACAGGCCGCGCGCCTCCCCTGCATCGCCCGCTCTCGAGCCGCCAGCTGCCGAGGGCAGAGCGCCGTCAGGGACCCGCCGACTGGACCTCTACCGTGTGCGCCCGTGCCGTGTGCGCCCACGTCGGCGGATGTAGGAATAGGGCCGAGGAGGCCGCACGCCGCCAGAGAGAGAGGTTGCGAACGGGGTGCGGGGAAGGCCGGCGAGGTCACGGACGGGGTGCGGGGAAGGTCGGCGAGGTCGCGCCGTTCTTGATCGGCGCGAGGGCGGCGAGGTCGCCCGTCAGGCGTCGGTGGAGGTGTGAGCGTCTTCTTGCCGCCGTCTTGGCGTCTGCGGGGGCTCCTAGCCTAGGTGCGGATGAGGGATTGAGGATTGGTTCAGGCTTATATAATAGGGTTCTTAGTTGGGCTTCTAGTGGGTTCAATATTTCGGGGCCCCGAATGGAGCTCCACGGATGAAATTCAGGATCCGCCCCAAAACCGTTGTGTTTCGGGTATCCGAACCCGCAAATCCATGGGCGAAAACTAGGAACCGAAACCGAAAATCGCGGACCCGAAACCCGTGGATATCCTCCCCGAACCCGATCCGCTGCCATTCTTATTTGTGGTGCTAATGGGCTTTCTTGTCTATCGGATGAGCCAAGCCGAATGTGGAGCCAGGGAGCAAGCCGATGCGCCAATCGAGCCATGTTATTGTGGGATGACGTGTCAACATATGATTGGGGGTCTGCACGGAGCGTCGCTGCAGCTAGCCTTCATCCCTGCTGGCGAACAGCCCCGTGAAGAGGACTCCCCACGCGCCACACCGCCGTGTAGCTGCGCGGCCTCCAGGCTCTAGCGGGTCGTCAAACCGGAGCCTCACGGCCAGCGCGTTGAGCCCGATGAGCACCGACGCCGACACGAACCCGCAGATGACGGCGGCCCAGGGGTCGACCACGGAGCAGCCCGCGGTTATCGTGGCAAAGCCACCGAGGAGGGTAGTTCCAGACGTCGCGTGCTGTAACTTTTGAGTATGGTGAGGTTGCCACCGCCACAAATAAACACTACATTGCCGCGCGCTGAACGCCACCGCGACATGAGAGCGCTCCGTCGCCGTGTACACACTGGTCGTGCTTCCACTAGCTAGCTAGTTCGTTTTTTTCCCGCCTCTTATCTAGGTACAACTATAGTATCTATTCATGAACAGACACACACCAACACCACACACACTCACACACACATCATGAACACAAATAGACCCTACAACTACACCAAGATTTCAAGATCGTGTCCTTGAGGAGATCACCGAAACCATCCAAGGCTCTGTAGGCGACGGGCGCGCTGCAATCCCTTTGTAGCTCCACGCGAGAGAGGCTGCACCTGTTAAATATGGGAAAAAACCCCAGTGGGGATCGTGAGTTGAGCAGAGCTCGAACCCACGACCGGCCGCTGCACCACCTGCAACGTTTGCCACTCGAGCTACGGCTCGATCCCCGCTAGTTCAGTTTTTTGCTTCTGAAAATATCACTGGTTCAGCTCTGGAGCAGGCGGCGCATGCAGACGCGGGACGGACCACCCGTAACCGCGCCGTTTGCAACCGTAGTTGGTATGGTCTTAAAAATGGATCCGTGGTGCACAATTCAATAAGTTTAGAAACGTGTGATGCACAATTTAATAAGCTTAGAGACATGTGGTGTACCATTTAACAAGTTTAATAAGCCAAAAATACATTTCCAAAGTTTGTGAACCTAAGTGACATCAGTTGATAAGTTCAAAGACCCTTCATGCATTTAACACTTTACAATTCAAAAAGTTTTTCGAAAGTCTTTAAAGAAAAATAAGACACATTAATGTCAGGCCAGCGAGGACCGTGGGATCCGTAATGTGGCTTTGTGTTGCAACGCACAAATATATTTGCTAGCATTGTAAAAAGAAGAAAAAAACCCTTGAAAACCGATTTCATATATTCACTTATTCATATTCTTTCAGGATGTCTCCCTTGCCTTTTAATCTTCCATCAGGCTGGCGAGGACCGTGGGATCCATGATGGACGGCTAGGGCCTTGGGGTGCTTATTACTTGACTAACGACGTGCACACTGGCCTGCTAGGTGTGTTTGGTATCCTCACCGGATACTGTGTCGCCTCATCCAGGGAGATGGTCGCATGGAGGAATAAAATTCAATAGACCTTGGGTCCAAATCGTGTCGCATGTGCCCTTAGTCTTGATGACTTACACGTGTCATGGGGAGGAAATCCCTTAGCTTAAGGTGGTTGGAGCAAATCTCCACGAACGTGTGACCACCTGGTGCTACGGAGATTTCGGTGACGTTCCATTTCTTAAAACGATAAAGACAAGTAAGCTACCAACATCCTGCTCGGCAGCCATCCATGCAATGTTTGATAATAAAAATATAGGGGCGTATGGAAAAGTATGGTTTGGACCCAGGTCCATTGAATTTTATTGAAAATTCCTTTACTGACACTGAAAAACTTCCTAAACCCTATTTAGCATCTAAACTTCAAATCTTACTTATTTGGCATTGTTTGAAATTTTTGTTACCGACACTACCGCGACTTGGACATACTGTACCGTAATTTGACGTGTGGTAAAAATACTAACATGCCCCTGGCTCATTACACAGGCAAGGGGAGAAAGGGGATCGGGCTTTCCCGTAGGAACTCGGGCTCTTCCTCCCAACCACGAGACCCTGGGTGGTGGCGTCTCGGAGGCTGGCGTTAGTGGGGTGGGAGTCATGCGCGGCCGGGTGGTGGTGATATTTCTTAGGACTATTGAACTAATTCCGCTAGCGAACATAATATATCGATGTAGCACTTCACTTAGGAGTATATCAAGTATCGTATTTATTTTCATAGAGAAGACGTAGTATGACTCAGACAAATGATTAATTAATTTCTAGTGAATTACCTAGGCACGAATGTAATGAAACAAATGCAAGTAAATAAAACTAACTAAAAACTAGAAAACAAAAGACACAACTATGGTCACGGAGTAGGTGAAGATAAATTAACTACTATCTTAATCAATTCAACCTATCAATTGTCTAGCAAGATAAGCAATGAATATAGATTCTTTCAATCAGATTGCCTTTAAACTCACCTTAAGGTTGATTAGGCACAAAGCACCATGAGCCCTATTATTTAATAACTAATTCCAACGTAATGGAATACTCCATAAGATGAGGATGGACAACAATATCATCACCTGCCACTTACCACAATCTATCTAGAGAATTAGCCACAACCCAAGGTACCATATAGTCTAAGCACCACGTTTATACTAAGTGATACTACTCTAACCTTGCGCTAAGATCGGAACACCAACTAGTGACGAGGATCCCGTATATCGGAAGCTTACTAACTAAACAAGAAATGATCGAAATATTCACAACACTACTTTACCCTAATGCTAGAAAGTAAATGATGAAAATAAGACAAGTATTAAAGCAATTATATAGAAAGCAAAAGTAGCTTACAAGAGCTTACAGAGAGACTCCAGAAGACTTCTCCAAGCTCCTAGCTCTTCACTTGTTCACTCTCACTCTCACTACTAACCTAAACTTCGGAGTAGAGAGAATGACACTACTGGGGGACGCTTTACAATCTGTGGAGAACACCAGTGGGTATTTATATCACTAAGGAGCTAGGGGGTATTTGTAGGTAGTGCAGGAGAGGCGGTGGAGGTGCCGCGAGGACGCTGCGTGGGGGCGGGGCGGCAGAGGTGGCGGTGTGGTGAGGCGCGAGCGGGGACGGCCTACGATGCACCGCCATTGCATCGTTGGGTCTTGGTTGGCCCCCAAAGTCGGTTCCCTTGCTGCAAGGACGCAGCGAAGATTTGGTCCAAATGGCTGCGGTTCCAAAGTGGGGTTTATGGCCTCCAAGTGAATGACAATGGGCCCATGAATCCATGGTGAACAAATCTCATCCATCGCTTGAACCGACATGAAATGAGCGCGGGTTGTGAGAAAGTTCGAGGGTAGGAGCCATCCCACGGATCGGTGACGTGGATGGGGGGAGGGTGGTGGCGCGGTTTGGGCGCGCAGGATTCATATAGAAAGCGCCACATGGCCACCACGTGTCATGGGGAGGAAATCCTTAGCTTAAGGTGTGGCAAATCTCCCGAGCGAGGCCCCTGCCACGTCCTGCTGCCTCCATGCTACCTATTTTTGCACCATTTTCACTGTTTTTCCTGCATTCAAATAAACTTCATGTACAAGTGGAATTCCGTTAGTAATAAACCAAATCTTTGCATTTCATGTTGATTTTCCTTCGGAATGTTGGCATTGTTGATGGTTAAAATAGGTGTTTAGTGACCATCAACAGTTGTGTTGGCTCTTCCTCCCAACCACTAGGTGGAGTGGGGGGGCTCCGGAGGGTGGTGTAGTGAGGCCAACCGACGGTATTGCTTATGACTATCGCGCTAGTGAACGCGATGCCGGCGTATATCTAGGCGACTTCTCATAGAGAAGGCGTAGTATGACGCACAAATGATTAATTAAGGCGTGAATTATCAGAGAGCAAATGCAAGTAAATAAAACTAACTAAAAGAAAACTAGGGTGGACGATGAGGTGCTCGACCTAGACAAAGCGGCTGACGTGGCATGTCAGATAGA